AATGCAGCACTAAGATCTAATTAAAGCGCCAAGCAGCGTTGGGCGGGACCTCGCACTCCACGCGATTCGGGGCTTGCTGCGGCTGCCTCACGACCGCTTCATGTCATCACGCGTTTCAGACACCGTGCAAAAGACTTGGGCGTTCATAGCAAGACTCTTCACTGCGAACCGTGGAAATTCAGCTCCACGCCACGGACACGTTGCTTTATGATCAGTCAATGTTTGATTAACTTTGATCAACATCGTGTCTACATTGCAGTGATGAAATTTGAAGTCAATGTGATAAAATCTTTAGGATTCAAAATGACCAACTTTGACGGCACGCCATAGACACGCCCTTCAACGTACAGTGGCAAATCTTACGGCGATTAATCAGCAACATCAGCAACAGTACTGACCAAATTTGAAGTCAATCCAAAAAAATCTGTAGGAGGAGTTAGTTAAAATTGAAGCCCTGAAATGCCAGAAATGGCATCAGAGTTTGACATTCGATTTAACCTGGCCAAATCTGACAGCACGCTACAGATACACCGTTAAATGTACAGTCACAAATAGCACAACTTTTGATCAGCAATATTTTTTAACTGTACTGACCAATTTTGAAGTAGATTCGATAAATTCCCTTGAAAGAGTTTGTTCAAATACAACGCAAAAAAACGCTGAAAATCACTGCAAAATGCCGGAAATGGCATCACAGTTTGACATTCGATTCAACCTGGCCAACTTTGACGGCACGCCACAGACACGCCCTTCAACGTACATTCGCAAATATAACACTTTTTAATCAGCAATGTTTTTTGACTGTACTAATCAACTTTGAAGCAGATTCTCAATCAGAAAATGACAAAAAAATTCAAAATGGACGACTTTGATGTACATGCACAAATTGCACAACTTTTAATCAGCAACATTTTTTAACTGTACTGACCAATTTTGAAGCAGATCTGATAAATTCCCTAGGAGGAGTTTGTTCAAATACAAGGCGAAAAATTCACCGAAAATGACCACGGAATTCAAAATGGCCAACTTTGACGGAAAGCCACGGACACGCCCTTCGACGTACAGTCACAAATAGCACAAATTTTAATCAGCAACATTTTTTGACTGTACTGACCAATTTTGAAGCAGATCTGATAAATTCCCTAGGAGTTCGTTCGTTCAAATACAAGACCACGGAATTCAAAATGGCCAACTTTGACGGCACGCCACGGACACGCCCTTCAACGTACAGTCACAAATAGCACGGCGTTCATTCAGCACCATTTTTTGACTGTACTGACCAATTTTGAAGCAGATCTGATAAAACCTGTAGGAGAAGATAATTAAAATAGAACCCTGAAATGCCAAAAATGACATCACAGTTTGACATTCGATTAAAATGGCCATTTTTGACGGCACGCCACGGACACGCCCTTTGACGTACAGTCACAAAATGCACGGCGTTCATTCAGCACCATTTTTTGACTGTACTGACAAATTTTGAAGCAGATCCGATAAATTCTCTAGGAGTTTGTTCAAATACAACGCAAAAAAAGAAGAGGTAGAGCAGAGAGGTAGTTAGGCAGTCTTACACTTTCAACAATTGCATCTTCATTACAGACAGCATAGGACACACACAGTAATCCATTCACTGGATGCCTCATGCCAGAACCATCTACAAAGAAAACAATCAGAGTTAGCAAGTGGAGTGTCGTACAGTGCATCACGTGGTTGTGATACTGTGTCCACCACCTCCAGACCAGAATGTGCTTCTCCATCATCTGCTGTAGGGAGTAAAGTAGAAGGGTTAAGGACAGTACAGCGCTTTAGAGTAACATGCGACATAGTAGGATGTTCTGCCAGTGCAGTATTCGTGCTGGAGTTAGATGTGCAGTTTTAGCTTGAAGGATGAGAGAATGGACAGCATGCGGAACATCAACAGTTAGGGTGCACATAGCAATGATGTCAACTGTGGCTAAGACTGCTTCAGTAGCGGCTGCTACAGCTCTTAAACATGCTACCATAGCCCTCTCTGTAATAGACAGCTGTTTCGAATAATAACCTGCTGGTCGTTGTCTGTCCCCATGGGGTTGAGTGAGGACTGCTGACATAAATCCATCCCTCTCAGAAACAAAAAGATTAAAGGGTTTGGTAGCATCTGGGAGTCCTAAACAAGGAGGGCTAGTCAGTGAAGGCTGTTACTGCCTTAGAAATCCAAGTCAAACAGTCAGTCATGGCCAGATCTTTTCCCCCATGAGTAATGTCATACAGGGGTTGGGAGATCTCCGCAAAATTCTTAATCCATCGACGGCAATAGCCTACTAAACCTAAGAATGACTTCATTAGTTTTTTATTTAGAGGTTTTGGGACATCCAAGATTGCTTGAATGCGGTCTGGACCTAATTTGCGACCCTCTGGAGTGATTATATGACCCAGATAACGTACTGATTGTAACACCAGTTGCACCTTATTTTTTGAAACTTTATGACCGTTGTCTGCCAGGAAACAAAACAATGACACTGTGTCCATTTGGCAATCCTTCTTTGTAGCTTAACATAAGATCATCAACATACTGCACAAGCTTAGTTCCACATGGTGGCCAATGTGACAGGTTCTCAGCCACAGACCAACAAGCCCCTGATGGAACTTGTGACATATGTGTTGTAACATTGGGTACAGTTGGTGCTAAATGTTGCACAGTTTCATTTATTCCCCTAAGATCTTGTACTGGTCTCCAGGACCCATTTGTTTTTTTTACAGGTAAGATATGGGGGTTGCATGGTGAATTAGGGCATTCCACCATAGCACCCTGCTCTATCAGTGCCTGAATGACCGGAGCAATGCCCTCAACAGCTTCTGGGCTAAGTGGATATTGTCTTTTACATGGTCTAAAAGTAGATTTAGCCTGTACACTAACAGGGGTTGCCCCCTTTATATCCCCAAAATCAAATTTACTCTTAGCCCACAAACATTCCGGTACTGTTGACAACAATGCTTCCTCCTCAACTGTCAGAGGCATTAGTGTAACCCCATGTGTGTATGAACAGTTCTAACAACTGCAACCTTAAATCTCAGTGGATAAGATGTGATGTTTTTTACCGGGGAGTAATAACTACCATTCTTCAATACTCAGAGCACACATAAGATCCCGGCCCAGAAGGTTTACTGGGCATACATCAGAAAGAAGAAATTGATGTTCTCCCCTGTAATCCCCAAAACGGACAGACAGTCAATAGTTCAGATACTGGTTCAAATGCTGGCATACCTGATGCACCTATTGTTTTTAGAAATGTTGTTGTCCTAGGGGCCTCAGGTAGTACTTTACTTTGGATTACAGACACCTCTGCTCCTGAGTCTACAAGGAATGTCACTTTCACTCTATGCACAGTAAGAGTTAACCTAGGGGGCGTTCTAGAATCTAGTGTTAACTGTACATATTGTTGATATGTAACAACAGGTTTATCAGAATCAACATTTATCTCTAAGTGTGTGTATGTCTCTGTGTGTGTGTTTGTCCCTGTCTCTATGTTTATGTGCTGCTCAATTCTCTGACCTGCCTCCGCTGTCTCCTATGGTTGCTCTGCCTGGAATCCTGGAGAATGCACAGAGAGTCCTCTTGGAGGTGCATGTGGCCAGGTCTCCTCTGGATCGCGTACTCTTTGTCTGTGAGGCCCAGAGTTAGGGCACTCACGCCACATATGGCCCTGGTTGTTACACTTGTAACACCTGACCGGGTTTGATCTTTCATGTAGATCCCCTCTCTTCCTCCCCCTCCCAAAACCTCTGGTGTTGGAGTGAGGTTGCTGTCCTGGGTTTGGTGCACCATTCTGCTGATAGTATATAGATACTCTGCTGATAGTACAACAACTGAGCAGATTGGAGCTTCTTTGTCTGTCAAAAATCCAACTCGACCTTGTTTCTTTCAGCATGTAGGACATGTGTCCACACCATCACTATAGGGCCAGTTTCCCAGCCAACACATGTAGCCATCACACTGTTCTTTAGACTTGGGTGGAGGCCATTTACCAATGCAGTTTTTAACAAGTCACTGTAAACCTCATTATCTGGATTCCTGAGTAAGCTGCAAAAACAATTTCCATACGGGTATGATAATTAGCAGCTGACTCACCCTCTTTCTAATTGGTGTTGTGGATCTCAGCCCAGCACACTCTTAGGGGAGAGGCGGCACGTACTGCGTCAAACAGGCTTATGTTCCAATCTGTGGGGAAGTGGACCAGTTGGATGGTCGGATGTTAGCCCACCACAGTTTGCGACACCAACGACAGCTTCTACCTCCTGCAGAGTGGGGGGTGGCTGCGCCCGACGGTAAAGCTCCGAGATAACAAGTGTGCCATGCACCGCGCTTACTTCCTGCTTCAGGTAGCTGGCGCTATCCATATCTGAATTATTTTCACTCTGTAGACCCGTGTCAGGGTCTTATTAAACATGTGAAGTCTTCATTGAGGATTGGGACCGATGTACACTGAAGTTCATGGGTACTCATCTGTTTTTGGCCAAAACTAGCGGGAATTCAAACACGTCATCACCGGACACGCTGTTCGACGCTATAGTACAAATAGCACAACTTTTGATCAGCAATATTTAAAAACTGTACTGACCAACTTTCTTGAAGTTGATCTGATCTCAAGTTGCCCACGTAGCGGATTTGGCTTCAAATACAACGTAAAAAAACGCTGAAGTCTGCGAACCGCCGGGAGAAATGGCACTCACAGTTCGAGTTCAATGGCCAACTTTGACGGCCTCGCGCCGGCCACCCTTCATTAGATGCGAACAGTGCACTAACTTTCAGCAGACCACTATTTGGACTGGAATACTGGAGCCAATTTTGAAGCAGATCCGATAAACGTTCTCTTAGGAAGTTTTGGTTCAAACTACATACCGCAAAAAAGAAGAGGTCACTAGAGCAGAGAGGTAGGTCTAGGGCAGTCATTACACTTTCAACCAATTGCATCTTCATTCTACATGCACAGCATAGGACACACACAGTAATGCCATTCCACCTGGATGCTCCATGCCTAGAACACATCCTACAAACGAACAACTCAAGATTTACCGCAACAGTTGGAGTGTCGTACAGTGCCATCGACACGCTTCTGGTGAATACTGTGGTCCACCACCTTCTTCAATCCAGCCCCCACAAAGAAATGTGCTTCTCCAATCATCTGCTGGTAGCGGAGTAAAGGTTAGAAGTTTACACGACAGTACAGCGCTCCTTAGAGTAACATGCGAAATAGTAGGCCATGGTTACTGCCATCAGTATTCTGCCTGGAGTTAATCGTGCAGCTTGTAGCCTTGAAGGATGAGAGAATGGACAGCATCGCGGAACATCAACAGTAGAGTGCACATAGCAACTAATTGTCAACCTGCTGGACTAAGACTCGCTTCAGTACGGCACCTGCTACAGCTCTTAAACCAACAATGCATACCATCAAGCCTCGTCTGTAATCCAGACACGCTGTTTCGAACTAACATAAACCCTGCCTGGTCTTGTCTGTCCCCATGCGGTGTTGAGTGAGCACTGCCTGACATAAATCCCATCCTCTCCTCTCAAACACAAAGAAGATTAATAGGGTCATTGCGTAAGCATCTGGGATCCTAACAAAACAAGGAGGGCTAGTCAGTGAAGACGCTGTTACTGCCTTAAGAAAACTCCAAAGTCAAACAGTCAGCTCATGCGGCAGAATCTTTTCCCTCACCACTTACGAGTAAAATGTCATACTCAGGGCGTTGGAGAGTCTCCGCAAAAAAAAAATTTTTTTCTTTTTCCTAAATCCATCCGACCGGCAACGCCAATAGCCTACCTAAAACTCACCAGAATGAGTTCATTACGTTTCCTTTTTATTTAAGAGGTTTTGGCCAGCATTCCAAGAATGCCCTTGGATGCGTCTGGACCAGTAATTTGCGGC